TTTGAAAGTAATTACCTTTCTGTCATGACAACTCTCTGAAAGTTTAGAATGGTAATATACATGACAATGTTAATGTGTTTGGTCTTGGCGGAATAGATCTGCTACGCTACTGTGGCAGAGCAAGTACCGAGACTTGCTACAGCCAATACATCCACAACATGCTGCTGTGAGCATGTAGGAAATATATAATATACATGAAATATATAACATACCCCTATAACATATATGAAATTACTCTGCAGCAGATCTACACAGGTGGAGCTGGGGAAGGTGGAGGCTTTTTGAAGCGTGCTAAGAATGTTGAGCAGCAAGCTCGTTGGCTGCTGATACGAAAAGAACCAATCAGCTGTGCCATGTGAATTGTGATGTGATTATATCAGATTGAGTTAGAACCTATCTGCCTGCACCATCTAGAATTCATGACAGAACTTTGTATTTATTCAGCAAGGACACACTAAATCGATCAAATGTGTCAGACATTTATATTCTTACAACAGATTTCTATTCTATTCAATAAAATTCTGAAAAAAATGTATCATGGTTTCCACAAAAACATTAAGCAGCACAACTGTTTAACATCTAAAATAATATGAGAATGAATTCTGAAGGATCATGTGACACTGAAGACTGGAGTAATGGCTGCTGAAATAATATTAATAATATTTCACAATATTACTATTTTTGTTTTATTTTTGATCAAATTAATGCAGCTTTGGTGAGAATAAAAGATTTCTTTAAATAAATAAATACATAAATAATCAATCATCCTGACCCCAAACGTTTGTGTAAACCCAAACAGTACTGCAAGTCAATGCCTAAGCTAGGGTCTTAGTAAATTTAAAGCCTTGTGCAACTAAAGAGTTCGTTCACACTAATACGATGACATAATTTTAATGTTTGGAGAACTCCCCCTTTAAACTTCCAGTATTTCCAGTCATTAAATTTATCTTAAGGATTACTTATTTAAACTAATAAATAAAATCTATTGTTGTGATGGGGTCCATCTAAAAACTAGATCTTACTGCTAGAATGTGTAGTATATATAACAAAGTGAATTATAAGCCAAACATTATTGCTCACTTTGAAGCTACAGCCACCAAACTCGGCACTGTTCTTCAACCTGTTCCTCTTTAGGTTGCCTTTTTCTTTTCTAAAGGACAAACTGTTTTACTAGTGGATGATAAAATATCCCACAGACTTCCATTGGAAATTTCTGACAGTATTGACAAGAGCTTTCAAGCTACAGTCGCTTATGCTGCTCTGATTCAGTACATTATATTTTCTAAATCATGAGACTAACGGTTTTACCTTAAGGCTAGTTCTGCCCCAAAAAACGCTGATGCAACAAAATTATACTTTATGTACATATTGTGCAAATAATAATAAAAAATATGTACGGCCATTCTGTAGGGTAAAATACTGACAATTAATCTATGTTTTACAGTCGACATGAATGCATTTCTTTTTAATGAAAGAAAAAAAACATAAAAATCTATATCTATCTTCTATTAAAAAAACTTGAGGCCTAAACAACCTTCAGTCCTCAAGGCTTTTTAAACTTTCATGCGAGACTTTGTTTATCTTGCTGAACTATCCTTTTCTAGTTTACTCTATGCTGCTGCTGCCGGGGTAATGCAGCCAAAGTTTTTCTCCGCTTGACTATCTCTGCAATAAAAGAGCTTTTCTGAAGCTAAACACCCCTAGGTCGTGAGACATATATACACGTGCTTCTGGCAAACAATTAATTGGCACTTTGCAGTGCTAAAAGTGTTGATAGACTTGATTCCTGTTTGGCTGGGAGGGGAGCAGAGCAGCAGCCATTAATCAGAGTGTCTGTCAGCCATTTACAGAAGCATGTAAACTATCACACTGTTGCAGTGGCAGTGTAGCTGCAGCCTTGCCAGCTCATCTCAGTGATCCGTGTTTCCGGGGCCTTCTGAGAAAACTTACTTCAGCACTTTTGACCACCTCTCTCTCTTTCTCATTCCTCTCGCTCCTGTGATTTCATGTGGCTCTGCAGGCTAGAAGCATGCAGACTCTGTATGTCTCGGTCAGTGGGGTGTGGATGCATCCTCTTGTGAAACCAATGCTTCTGTACACAGTTGTGTGTGCGTGTGCTTGATTTTGTTTTCTGTATAAACATGTTGGTTATGTATTTACATCATTAGAGTTTAAAGATATAGTTCACCCAAAAATGAAAATTCTGTCATAATTTACTCACCGTCATGTCTTTCCAAACCTGTATGACTTACTTTCTTCTTTGAAACTCAAAGAATGTCTCACTGTTTTTTTTGTCTACACAAAGAAAGTCATCAGAGTCCAAAGGTTTTTTGGACCTCACTGACCTTCAATTTATGGAAGAAACTATTTGAAACACAGGGTCAGCAAATGATCTCAGACTTCTTGGGTGAACGATCCCTTCGAAAGTGAAGTGTGTACCACTAGCAAACAGGAAATTCAAAAACGATAATTGTTTCCAAACAGGTTTCCCAACCACCCTGTCTTTCGCTGGATGGAAATGCCAAGATGCGCATACATTCTAAAAATGTGCATTAAAAAAAACTTGCATGCTTGAGGTGGATACATTTTTTATCCGATAAGAAAATGTGCATAATCTATGACTGAAACACATTTACAGAATTAATTCCTCAATGCACACCAAAAAAGTAATGTGACTTTGCACAATGGGACGGCATAATTGTACAAACCGGCGGACCGACCTAGTTGCACAGCATCTCAAATGTTGTTTTGGTTGTTCTGAAATTGGCGCCAGTTTATCAGGAAGTTACAATTTTGTTCTCTTCGTCTCCCTGGAAACGGTGCTTTATTCACAAATGTTTTATGCGATACTGCAATTTTGTGCATAAGTTAAATGCACAACTTTGGATGGAAACTATTTTCCTGTTTATTACTGTGAAGCTATATACAATCTGTTTTGTATAAAGAGCTATATAAATAAATGTGACTTGACATGACTAGAATACTTGTAGAGTCCTCATTAAACTGGGACAGAAGTGTTTTAAAGTTTGTTTTGAACACACTCGTATTGCATTTGTAAACAATTATATTTCTTGTAATCCATTTAAGCAAAAAATATGAAAAGAACGGACACACACACACACACACACACACACACACACACACACACACACACACACACACACACACACTTTGGTCCCTGTCTAAGAAGGCCACAAGTCTGCACCCCACACTCTGAGTGACACCATGACTAATACATATACAGATAAACACCATCTATGACAAACATGATAAGAGTGCGGCACAAAACTCACTGACAAACACCCCCAGATCTGCATCCCCATGGAAACGCTGACACATACTGACTGATGGATGTCTCCATGGATACCTGTCACCGTGGAGACAGACACCATGTCTCTCTCAGTGCAGTGCCATCAGAATCAAAGTGAGCGAATAAAGCAGCGGTGAGGGAGGTGTGGGGAGATGGACATGAACAGAGGAGAGCAGAAGAAAAGCTGTGTTTATCTGACAGCCAATTCTGCAGAGTTTCTTTGCAGGTCTCCTCCCTCATGCAAACCTGTCAGCTTGTTGCACCATTCTGGAGGTGGACATATTTATCTCTGCCCATTCTCTTTTCTATCTACCTCCTTTCTCATTCAACTCTCTTTCCAGCCTTCCTTGGCCATCACTTCAGGGGAGTGGCTATGGACGGGCTGATCTACCACCTGATAGAAAATCAATTAAATTACAGTTTTAGCTTTAGCTTGGACATTTTCCCCAATTGATTATTGGCTATTCAAGTGCCAGCAGTCAGCGCTGCATAATGTCAGCTCAGTCCAAGCATTTCAATTCAGTCCATGTGGTTGTTTTAAAACCTACTAAGCATAGTTAACAAATATAAAATTTTCCTTCAACAAAGTATGCAAATTAATACAGAAAAACTTGAACACAAGACTCCCCATATTCAAAGTAAAAACCTTATCCAGGGCTCAACCATATGGATTATTTTCTGCTGGTCCAGTCGGGGCAGTAGTTATTAAATTAGTTTTACAATTATAACTTCCAATGCCAACATTTTCATCTGCACCTCAATGCAAGAATCATCATATACAGTATTCATTTTTTTAACAATGCAGTTATATATTTGGTAGAATTTATATTTTTCATGAAATAGTAAGTCTACAAAAACACACAGCTTTAGTTAAAATTACAATTATTTAATTTATTTAAATAAATCATTAAATTATTACATTTAAAAAACTAACTTTTTTCTTTAATAAAAGGAAAATGTATAACAAGCTGGAAGTTCACACATTTGCTGGAAAACAATGACATATGCAATTCATACTGAAGCTTTCAAAATGATCATACACCATTTTTGCAATTTCGCCAAAAGCTCATCTATGTTAGCCAGTTAGATAACATTGTCTATGTGACAAATCAGCAGAATTTGCAACAATATTGTAGAAGACCACATTTTTGCTAAGTTTGCAAGGTATAAAATGTCTGTAAAATATCAATGTCTGTAAGATTTTCAGTGGCAAAGCAGCACTGGTCCAAAAGATCCAAAACTCTCTTACACTGGTCCTGGACCTTCAGGCCATCCTTACTGTGGAGCCCCGTTACCTCTAGACCAACAAATCCAGTCCACTTTTTAAAACAAAGTGACAGCTGAGTATTTGAGTGAATAATTTGGATTGCAACAGTAGTGTTTCACCAATTTGGTAATGGTAAAATCATGGCATTTTTCATGGCAAACTTTAAAATTTTCTTCAACTGAATTTTATTTCCTCTTATATTAACTTTAGTTGCCCACACAACATCTCCACACTTGGAAGTCATCTTAGTAACACCACAGCATCGCTCTTTCCTTCTCTGCTCTCCAGACCCTTCCAAAACTCCCTATAGCTCCTGGCAGCCTTCTCTTCAATGTTCTCCCTCCATCATTCTCTCCCACACTGGGTGAAATGGAAGCACGCTCTATAAAAGACTGGGGTTGCTATAGTAACAAGCTCACTCACCATCTTACGTGTCACCATCACATGAGCTCCTGACGACCATAGCCCAACTGTGAGGCTATGTGGCTGGGATGGCTCCATCACTCTGCTCTGGGGATTCAGAACCCCACCTGGGACTCCCTGTCTCTCTCTCTCAGCACTGCCACTGCTGCTACATAGGGCTGTATCTACACAGGAAGAGATGACAAGGTCGACCAAATAATTAACGAATGGGCAACTTAATAAAATAAATAAATCCACATGCCTGAGTCAACTCTCTGTGGACTTCCAACACCCACAGCAGGGCTCACTAATAAGTTTTTTTTTTTTTGGCCCGGGTTGTTCGAGTCAGATGTTTACTTGCCCTGCCAACATTTATACTGGCACCCCACAATTAAATAAATAGCTATTTTTAGCCACATATTTTATTATGCATACGTTTTTAACTAAACATTTTTTTTGTAACAAAAAAAAACATTATGACAGCATTATGACAGAATTATGACAGCAAATAAATGTATTTTTAAAATTACTATAACTAAAACTGAAATAAAAATAAAGCAAAATTGAAATATACAAAACTAACAAAAATGATGAAAAATTAAAATTCCAAAAATACAAAAATAAAAGCCAATTCAAAATATGAACAAATAGTGTAATAATGTCAAAATAAATAATAATACTATAATACTAAATTATTAGGCCTGAATGTCTAAATGGCAGAAAAATATATATAAATTGGCCTGGGTTGGTTGAGTCAGATTTTTAAATTTTTCATTAAACATATTTTACGTTTTTTGTAACAAAAACAGCAAATAAATATATTAATTTCTCATGGCGGAAATAAATTGATAATAATAAACAAAAACAAAATAAATAAATACAATTTGAAACAATAAGTTAAATATAAAGGAAATAAATAAATAAAATTAAAATTTCATAAAAAAAAATATTTTCTAACTATTTCCGAATTATGCTTCCAAGATCCTCACTTGCTAAATAACATACTTAAATTAGCAGAATTCACACCAACAATGTTTAAAACATCTCAGAAATCCAAATGTTTAAATGTACAAGGCATAAAAACACAGGTACACGCTCAACAAATGCAATGTGCAGTGACAGCCCGGCACTGGCCCAATAGGGAAACTGACTGTTCCATCAACTGGCTCAAAACTTTCTTACACTTGCCCCAGGCCATTAGGCCATCCTTATTTGTAGAGGCCTGCACAGTCAGGATCACTGAGAACCCTGAGAGAGCGAGAAAGAAAAGTATACGTGTGGGTGAAGGAATAAAGGCCAGCACATTCGCATGATGGTACTCTGCATAATCACTCTAAACATGGAGCCAAGGCTCTGATTTATCACAGAAACAGGGCTGACGTCACAGCACGGACACTTCTGTCTTGCGCTACCCTTCTGCATCCTTCTTTTGCTCTTAATTCTCTTTTTCTTTTCACAGCACTCTCACCTGAAGACAAGGGAACTCAGATTTTCACCTCCACCTCATCACTTTCATAAACACCTCACTCACTCTTAAATCAGAACAAATGTAAATGAGCAGATGTAGGTGTAGATGTGTAGGTGTAGATTTTTAATTCACCTCTTTCTCTAATGTACCTATGTATAGCGCATATTTCTATGGCACAGTGAATATTGTTGGGAACGTATAACCAGTTTTTATTATGTTAACAATTTTTCAACATCTGCATTGTTCTGTTGATGCAGACAGAAGAGTGTTTAAAGGTCAATGTGACTAATTCCAAGTGAAACAGGATACTAAACAATCAGAAATGAAGGATGGGAGGTGATTTTATCCATCAGGAATTGACTGGATTGTGAAAAGTGGATGTTGCATCAGTGTTATTATTGTTAACAAAAACTAAAACTGTTCAAATCATATTCGTTAATTGAAATAAATCTGTAATCAAATAAAAGATGAAAACCAGAAGCTGAAATAAAAATATTAGATGAAAACCTTAAAGTTGTAAGGTGTAAACCAAAATGAGAAATGTTGCCTTGGCAACTAACAATTTTTTATTTTTTTTTGCTCAAGTTGAAGTACTAACATTACTAACACTAAAATAAAAATAAAAGCACAATATAAATATTAAAAAGCTATAATAAAAATGACAAAAAATAACAAATTAAAATGACTAAAAATGTAAAATAAAAGCAAATTCAAAATATTAATAAATACTAAAATAGTATACAAATAATACTAAAATAACAGTGTGTTGCATTTAATATGGAGCCAGACCTGAATGTGATGCCTAAATAGCTCAATGACTTTGTTCAAACAGGAAAGTCATGTCAGAGAAAGTCCATGTTATTAAATTTTGATTAAAGAAATGCAAAGATTTTTTACAAAAAAAAAAAAAAAAAATCATGAACCTGAACAATAAAACGAGAAACACAATAAAGTAAACAAATTCTGAGTTTGAATTAAATTTGATGAGAGAACAACAATTAATAATACGAAGAGATGCCTTTGATTGCGATAAACTTGCTGGTTGCTCATAACAACAAACATACAACAAATTATTTGTGAATTAATGACTCTTCAGTTCTTTTTAATGAATCAACCAAAAAGCCTAAAAAAATCATCTCAAACTCATTAGTTATCGGTTTGAATCTGTCTAATGACTCACGCACTGACTGAATAAGTCAGAGCGTTCTTCCTCAAGTACTAAGAGAATCAAAAGTTAAATCTTTAAAGGGCCCCTGAAATGCTTAGAAACACGCAGCGTTACTCTATGTGTTGACGTCATTTTAACTGAAACAGGACGACAGGGCATTTGCTGCTCACTGCAGAGAAATGAATGTCGCTTTACTAACGTTAGATCCATAAAGGTGGAGCTAGACTAGGTCAAAACACGCAGCGTTACTCTGTGTTGACGTCATTTTAACTGAAACAGGAAGACAGGGCGGGACATATCAAGCAGCCCCGCACCTTTTTAAAATAGCCAATAGCGTTCGTTTAGATCACAGCTTGGGCTAGAGCCGTTGAGCGCCGTAAAGCCGCATTTGACAGGGTGTGCCAGCCACAATCTCATCCATATTGCTATAAAATATAGCATTCTGTGTAGAATTCAAATAGCTCTGATACATTTTGTGGTCTGCGCCGACTCGCGCAGCGCTTCGGATTCTAGAGAGCATTTGATTGGACAGAAAGTTTGATGAGAAGCTGAAGTACGATGTGACGTCAAAAGAAAAATCGTTGAGCCGTTTTGGCGGACATGACGAACTGCAAGCTTTGAATGCTTATATCTTCTAAATGCCAATTTTGTCATTGTTTTGGAGCACACTGCCTTATAGATAACCTTAAGACTAACATATTGATACTAACACCCAAAAAACTTTAATTTTGATTTCATGGGGACTTTAAGGAACCGGAACCATTACATTCCCAGCTTTAACTGTGAAAAGCGTGCGTAATTCAAGATCCTTCCTTTGCATTAGACTCATCCTCCCACCCCAGAGGATGGCATTAAGACAGTCCCCAAACGCACACAAACACACCTCGTGGTGACCACCACTTCACAGCAAATAAACTCTCCCCCAGGGACAGTGTCTACTTAAAGCCTCACGAAAAGCAGTACAGATGAGGCTCTGAAGCCAGGACTTCTAATCAGACATCATTATCATCGTGATATACTGTTTTCTAGCTGGCCTGCTTTGTAAAACACAGTCAACACGCTCATTCTCGCACAGAAAAGCAGGCACACATACATGCGCACATTTACAACAGGAAAATCCCCTTAGCCTACACTGCTGCGCCGAGCCCTCCTCCTGCCCTGGCTCACTTATTCCTTCGGTGACCCGAATCAAACTCCTTCCAGATAGTGTGGCTCAATGCGGCGGCACCGTCATAGTGCTTGCGTTGCGAGGTCACTGAAGCCTGAATGCTCTCATTACCAAACTGCCTCTCCAAACACATGAGCTAACCATAGCCTGACCACTTCCATTACCCCAAGTCAGCTTTACTCACACATGATCGAACCACTGTCTGACCACCCTTACAAGTCAGGCTCTGTCTGTTTACCCATGAAGTAAGCAGTTCCTGACAGTCTCCATTAGGGAATATCAATGTGACAATCCATTATCTATATAACATCATATTACGGCTGCCTCTTGTCGCCTTGAAATCAATGACTTATGAACACATGGCTGAATCTTAGGTTGACTTGCAGTTGACCCAGTGCTTTTGCCAATATGCGTTAGGATCATGGCTAAAACACTTCCAGATGTACAGTTCTTCGTGTTTTGAGTCAAACGTGATGGGCTAAACATAGAGCCCACGCATGGATAAACCTCAGTATGGCTGCAGTCACTACAAACATATTGCGCAGAGTATATGCTCTGAAAGCATCTCGGCCGGCGAGCTTTCTTCAAATAGCCACACAGAGGCCAGCATCTGTCATGACTCAACTTATTTTATGGAGCGAAAACCCAAAAATACACCATGTGTGACCTTAAAATCCCTCCATGTATTCTTTCTCTCTGAACAAAACAAATCTAAATGCTCATTTTGTTCACCTGCCAACAACAATAACACCAGTAGCACTAAACACACTTGCATGAACCAAGTCGTGAAAATCTGCTAATGCACACATAATCTAAACAAAGATAGACTGCTTTATTAACACACGGCTGCCTATTTCACCTCAAATCCACACAGTCTCATTAACAATCCCTCATGGGCAATTTACTTAACTCGGCACTGACCATCCGTGCCTATTGTCCGTCTTCACGAACACACGATCAAGATGTTCCCCCCTGCCCTTACACATGACAGACTTCTCGTTCGAGTCCCTCCATCCCTAAAGCTGTTTACCTCCACATGAGTGCACTTCCATCGCTCCAGTGGGTTTCCAGACCTCGCCACGGGAGACTCGAATGCCACGAACGGTTCCTGCCAGGGGAGACATTTCCACTGTTTCCAATTATGTTACTTCGGGGCTGGATTACGGCATTAATTTCATATCACTAACCACTGCCATTGCTTACTGACAATTACTCAATAATTAAAGGTCTGACAGTCTTCATTATTCCTCTGAAGGACCAGCACACAGGCCTGGACTGGGGAACTCAATCAAAGCAATCATGGCTAATTATGCCGTGGCCCTCTTCCTCCACGCCCCCCACTCTGCAGGGAGAGCGAAGGAGGCCAGAATCAGCACTATGG